TTTTTTTTTTTTTTTTTTTTTTTTTTTTTTTTAATTATAATTCGATAATTATGTTTGATATTCGATGTCGTCACATTTCTCCGGTCAGCCTTCGTCTACTTTACACCCCCGCGAAATAAATTTTCTCGCGGAAAAACCGAGTCATTTTTAAATTGAGAGGAACAACGTTTGACGAACAAGAGTCGCGAGAGAGGGAAGAGGGGACCGCCGGGCATTAGCAGGAATTAACATTAATTGGCATTCCTCTCTCCCTTTCTCGTCTTGTCCCACGACCGGTCTGCTCTCTCCTCCTTCTCCCCTGTTTTCGTTGTCTCTCAATTTTTCGCATCTTTGCACAACGCCAACGCTGTGAAACGACTCCTAATCGTTTCGTCTTTATATATAAAAAGTTTTTTCTCTCAGTTTTGTTATCCGATGAGAATTCGAAGCTGTCCCGACGAAATAATTTTCCGAGAACAATTTTGCGCAACACACACCGGAATTACAAAATAATTCGTTTAAGTCCAAGTCGAGCAATGTGTGTGTGTGTGTGTGCATATTAAACAGACGATGCGAGTTTTGATGAATTTTTAATTTTGACATTTTGAAAATGTGTGTGTGTGTGTGTGTGTGTGTGTGTGTGTGTGTGTTATTCCAGTTTACGTCTCTAACGCTCTTTAATTTCGCTTCCTTCTCGCCTCTCGGGAAGAGGCGAGACTTTCGGGTCATCCTGTGTGTGCGCGTATGCATATGGTGCATATGTTACACATGCTACATACGTACGTTACGCCGCGGCTGAATCTGCAACGGCGGCAGATCTAATCCTCTTTGGCGAGCGATTAAAACTTTAATCCGAGAGAGCGACGTTAAAAATAAGTAAATGAGCCACGGCAAAACGCGGCACGTAACGCGCTGAATTTATTATTTTTTTTTCGCGATGATCTTTCAATAGACGGGAAAGATACCGCACACACGGAGAATTGAATAACTCGGTGGAATTTTTTACATCGTCGTTTGTTGTTACGAGTATCGTATTATATTTTTATTTTAATTTTATTTATTGGTTGACGCGCGCGACGCACACTTCGCGACGAGACGAACACTTTTTCGCCTCCCTCGTGTGTTATATTTTTCCCACGTGTCGTCGTTGTCGCGCAATTAGTTTCGCGCCGTATCTCACTCATAGGTTTCTCATTTTCTATCTTTTTTTTTTTTTTTGTATTTTACAAGTCGAAGCGTCTTTACAATCCGAGCATTTTTGTACACAGCGCGGAATGACCGAACGAGAGAAAATTCTAGCTAAAGACTCTCTCTGAACGATGAATAGAACGCTTGATACACCACACACAAACACACACACATATACGAAAAACAAGAGACGCCAAACGGAGAAATATAGAGAAATCAAAGATTCGATTGTATTCTCTCCTTTTTTTCCTTCGTTCTTTCTCCTTCTCATCTTTCACAAAAATGTTATACGATACAATATAACAAGCGGACGTTAGAGTATCGCACGACGTATCTTTTTGTACATGATATATGTTGCGTGTAAATTTATTAATTTTTGCCGTTGAGCATCGAAGTCAATGTGCGTATAACGTAGTGCGATATTAGACTTTTTGTAACACAAAAATTAACGCAGAAAGAAAGATAGAGATAATTTGATAAACGTTTTGCGCGAGAATGCGATAATAAATAAAGTCAGATAAATGTCGCCAAAAGACCTGCGACAGAGTGAAAGAGGAAAAAGAAAGACACATTAGCTAGAAGGAAAGAGAGAGAGAGAGGAGAGGACACTCTTCGAGCACAACTTTAATGACTTCTCGAGGTTGTTTCAATAGAGCACGACAGTCTCTACCATTGCATCATCGCTATATACCGGGTATTCGGCTGACAAAAGTTATTGAACACATTTTCTAGATAAACATATGTGTTCCATCTCGGTGAAAATAAACTAATATAGTGAGAAATTTATGTAATCTTGTTTCTAACACTCTCTTCTGTTCGTATATCTAAACGTATCTTAAGATTATCTTAGTTGTTGAAAAATTAGATTTTCTTCCAAAATTATATTGAAAAAATTATATTGAAAATATAAATGAGATATGATTATTTCAAGTTTGTTTTTAACTATCTATTCTGTTTGTATCAACGCTCGTAACAAATTCTCATTATCTCAGTTATTGGAAAATATTTTCTTCAAAAATTACGTTAAAAAAATGTAATGAAAAATTACTACTTCCAATTTATTTTTAACTATCAACGTTCGTATCGACGCTCTTAACAATTCGGTTTGATTGCTGGAAAATTTATTTTCTTCAAAAATTACATTACTGTTGCACGTAAATATTCAAAAGTAATAAATGAAGTTTGTTTTTAAATAATCTTTTTATTTCAAATCAGAGAATCAATAATATCTTCGAAGAACGCGAGACATCACAGTCCAGTTCTCCAAATAAAAATTCACATATTGACTGTAATGTCTCGCGAATCAAATAATTGACGGAAGAAAATTCGCCGAACCCCTTTTACGCAATGTCGCAATGTCTTTCGTTTGTCTTATTGTTTGAAACGAAAAAATTAAATAATTTCGAGACAAAATTATATATTATAATAATTCTACGCGCACATACCTCTGTGAAGTTAAGTGGCAAACGCGTTGTGCTCCCGATGTTGAAAAAACAACTTGTTCTTCACACAATCTCATCGAAAAAATCTTGTAGATTATTTGCGTTTTTAGATTTTTCTGATTGCAGAGGAAACACCGAGGAAACGGATTTCCGAAGTTCCGGGGGAAGAAGAGGAAAATTCAAGTCAGTCCTGTCCTGTTCCTAAGTACTAGTGCCGCAGGAGTGATTAGGCTGGGCAAAAAGGTTACCATATCTCCTGCTGCTCAAGTGCTTATCAACGGGTCGGGACGCGTGTCATCTTTTCGATGTTCGCGCGATCCAGGAAGAGTTCCGGAAGATCTTCTCTCGGCTATTTCAATTCTGTTTCAGAAGAGAATTTCATTGTACATGTTTCTTTCTTTTTTTGTTTTTTTTTTTTATAAAAAATGTATCTTTACATCACGTCTCTTTACAGTAACATTCTTATGTAATATACGATGTGTGTCGTATGATAATGTACTTTATGTATGAGCGTGTTTCCGAATTACATGAAGAAAAAAAAAACCACACGCGCGTGTATACGCGTAGTATATATAGAAACGCCAATATATATAGAAATAAGTGAATAATAATAAGGATGACTTACTGTAGAATGTAGATAACGTGAAAAAAATTTACATGTATAATTTGTAAGAAACAATACCGCACGAGGCTCTCGATACCTCCAGAAGGAAGAGACACAACACCGATAGGACATTCGCTCTCGAGAATTGCAACAGTTTTTCAAGATTGCACGTTGCAACGTTTCTAAAACAAAAACAAAAAAAAAAAAAAACAAAACAAGACAAGACAAAAATCATTAGCTTTCTCGTCAGGTTCTGAAAAAAGTTCTTCGTTTTACCTTTCCTTCAAACGTTGCGTAATAATTTGTACAGTAGTTTATTGTTTTTCTTCTTGTTGCTTTTTGTGTTTTACATCGATGACACGTTTCGTCGGTGTATGTGTGTGTGTGTGTCTGCGTTGCGATTCAACTTTCTTGTCCGCTCTGTTTCTTCTTCTTTTTTTTTTTTTTTGTAAATTTTTCCTTTTTTTTATACACAAGATCGCGACAGTCGTATTATAGTCTCCCGCGAGAAACTCGCACCTCGTGCGATGCAGGTATAAAGATTCGTCTGTCTCGCTATAAAAAATGTTTTTTTTTTTATACATCCGGTCTATGTGATCGTTAATAAAAATAGAGCTCCAATCTTCAGCTAATAGCACACATGACACCGGGGGGAGGAGGCGCGATGGTAACCGAAAGCTGCATCAAATCTGTAAATAAAAAACAAACGCCTTTCCTCGCCTGCTTTTTGAACACCCGCAGCTTCGCTCACGGAGAATTGATTTTTTTTTCGCAAACAAATATTCACAAAAACGTTGGAGCCCGACAAAATATGCAAACAACAATTGACGGCAACCCGTATACGTTAACGCATCCATCCCCGGACGACGTGCGCTTTTATTTTATTATTACATCGAGACGGATCTCGCGTGCCAAGATTCTCCACTTATGCTCGGCGTGTTAATAGATTGACGCGAATTGTCTCTCTCTCTCTCTCTCTCTCTCGTGCGCGAATGACAATTCTAAGGCATTGTGTTTTTCGCGAATCTCAATGAGCAATTTCCTGACGTTTCTCTCATTTTTGTTAACTCACACACGACACGCGAGTTTCAGTGGAGATTCGATTGGAGTCGCCGCCGGGTTGGTTCTTCGTTGCCAGGCGTCGTTACGTGCGTGCACTCGGAAAACAGAAAGTATATATTGTCTATATTAAATTGCCAATTTTATACATGAATATTATTATATTATGTCATTCCTGATCGCTCGACACATTCAGCGACGTGTATCATTATGTACATTCGGACCTCGGAAACATCGCACTGCGTAACTCGCCGAATCGATCGAATCTCCGCGTTGCAACGGTCAATCAAAGAATAAAAGAACAATCGTACGGAAACGCGATAGAGACAGTTTCCGTACAACTTTCTTTGCAATTAGATCTCGAACTCATAGGCGAGTAACGAAATTATTGTTACAAAAATAAAACTGCTGTAGTTTTGTTTTTTTTTGTCAAGCACAGAACGAACTTCGCGGTTTTACTGTATTACATCTTATTTTGACAACATTACACGTTACAATTTCACGTACACAATTATGAATAAACGTCTCTCTTATACATTTGTTGTCGTCGCGCGACACCTCACGTACATCACGCTTGCGCGTGTATTCGACTTACTCACGCTCTGAGAAATCATGAAAATCCAATCGTGAATTACACAAGAGGCGCGATGTACGCAAATATATTACCTATTCGCTCGAGGGAGGAAACAGCGCACAGGATATCCGAAGTATTTCGCGAATTTTTTCAACGCAACCGGTGGCACATCTCCGTGAGAAAAATTTATAAACGATTTCGCGCGAATAATAAGCGTGCGTGCGTGTGTGTGTGTGGGTCTGCGTGTGTAAAACGATTCGGGCTGTATGTACAATTTAAAAAACACATCTATAATTTCCATGTATTCAATGTTTAAATTATCGTAATTACAAGAGCGAGTTACACGAAACAAATCGTTCAAGAATATATAATCTGCTAATTTAATCGTAAATCGATGTAAGTCGGTTTTTTATCCGCACATCCTTTTTTATTAAAAAAAAAAAAAAAAAACTACATATCTGCGTGTGTTTGTATAAAAAAAAAAAATCAAAAGCACCTGAAAATTATTCACCTAATATTGGAGAAATATTTTATTTTTGTACATCAAACTCATATCGATTCGAAGCTTCGTTCACATCTCTTACAAATCGGTGATTATTTCGAAGCGGTTATTTTGGTAGTTTTTTCTTTCTTTTTTTTTTTTTTTTAACAAAGAAGCCTCTGCGTTATTTTTTTTATATCATAGAAAATTACGTACTTCGTGTGCATAGATCTCTTCCTTGTTTCAATTTCGTTACTATATAAATCTATAACTTCATTTTTTTTATCACGCGCGAAGCTGTTTTCTTTTTTTTTTTTTTTTTTACATTATTTTTAGAAATAGATTTATGCTAGATCGCAATTCGTATTGAAAACTCACGCGCGCGAATTCGAAAACACTCGAGACACCAAACTTTTGTGTGTTACTTTCACCGAAAAATTTTTGTTGCGTTTACTGTGTGTGTGTGTGTGTTGTGTGTATTGCGTATTTTCTTTCTCTTATCGATAAATTTTCAAAATATATACGACCGATTTTTGCTGGTAAACAAAAACGGCGAGTACACGTTCGGGGGATTATAAACTTGCGCGTGAGTTTTTAATAGAAATTACTTCGCGATTATTCGGATATTTATCAAACTTACAGTATTATGCCGGTGTGTATATTAGTTAGCAAATATTATTTTTATTTTATATATATATAAACTTTGCAAGCCCAGCTTTACCATCGTCAAAATGCACTTTTAGGTTTGTTTACGTTTATTTATTTTCTTCCTCCTCTTCTCGTCCGTATATGAAATTGCTGCTTATATCTGTATAAGGAGATAGTACAAGAATGTGTGTGTCGATGAATTATTTAATAAGAAAGATTACGTATAGAAAATTTATAATTTCCATCTAATGCGCGCTCGATTATCATCTCGCGATCGAGGAGCGTTTGTTGTTTTAGAAAATAACAATCGCGCGATGTACACGTTTTTTTTTTTTTAAATCGGCGCCGCTTATTGCTCGATAATGTAATATTCAATGCAGCAACACATTTTGGTTTTTTTTTTCTCTCATCTGGGATACATCATCTGTGGAAAGAGAGACACACGTCACTTTCCGTTGGACTCGTATTGGCGACTGACTTTTGACAATCGATTTAAACAATTGTAAGTTTTCTTTTTTTTTTTTTTTTGTTTCTCAAGAATAGAATGAGCTAACGAGAAAATAGGCCTACGATTATTTTAACGTGTACAATATTTAAAAGTATATAAATAGTAGACAATTTAGACGTACATGAAAGATACTAATATATTTACCGAAATTCGATATAATAATAATAATTGTCATTTATATCTTGAGTCTCTATGAGTAAAACTATGTTTTAAACATCGGTTTTTGTTTCTTTCAAACGTCATCTTTTCTCATCGTTTACAATTACAACTGAAAATCGTGTATGTGTTTGCGTGTGTGTGTGTGTGTGTGGAATATAAAATTACACTATTATAATATTAATTACAGATTAATCTCTCTTTCTCTCTCTCGTTGGCACGGCCGACCTCTCTGTTTTTTTTTTTTGCGCTAGTTAGGCATGTTAATTAAGGAAAGCAACTTAACACTTATATACGTTTACTCGTACGTCGTTTATAAATTGATTGTACATGAATTGTAGCTCGTAAATTTATCCTCACAGCTCGCAATTTATTTTCATATTGTCGCCCGTCTCACGATAATCAAAAATCATCGCGCCGCTACGTGGTGAACGTGTGTCACGTACGTAGAGTGCGCAATGACACGGCAATATCTATTATATAATACAGAACGAACGCGTTACTGAATCGTTTTATAAACCATATGTCGTTAACTGCCAACACGAGTCTCTGCAAAAATTCGGCTGAATCACATTCTGCCGTGTTTTTTCTTTCTTTCTTTCTTTTTTTTTTTCATATCTGCGGATATACTTGAATCAGCGAACTTGGTAGCTTGGAAAGAGTTATGCGTGTGTTCCATGTTTTGCGTAATCGTTTTTAGTTTTTTTTTTTTGTTTTTTTTTGTTTTTTGTTTTTTAATATATACATCATATATGCGCGTGACAAATTATGGGGTGCAAACTCCGTATGTCTGTGTGTGTATACAGCATGTATGAACGTGTGTGTGAGCTGCGTGGACGGCGCTACGTACACCACTCCTCGGTCAAGTCGACCGCTGACAGATCCCAGCAGTCGACCACCGTTAGTATTTATTCGGATACCCGTGGTTCCACTGGGAGCTTTCAGTTCAACGTGCCTAGCTCACGTCAGTATATACCGTTGTATAATCTACAATAGAAATAACAGGCATAATGTATCCATAACGCAAAAAAGCGGTTCTGCACACACGGGACTCCATTAATTATTTAGATTGTCTTGTAGTTGGCAGAAAATTGTGTGTGTGTGTGTTTTTCTTTATTTATTCATTTATTTAAAAAAAAAAAAAAAAAAAAAGACGACAGTGAAAGTTGTTTTTTTTTTTTTATTGTTGCTCAATTTCAATTTGACTGTGAACGAATGACGATCGAACGACTGTCAAGGTCAATTTTATTGACGTCGTTCGATAACGTCATCGAAAAAAGTATCGCTATCTAATGAATTCCGTATTTTACATTTCAAGACGTTTCTGTCTGGGACGCCATCGTTTAAACTATAAAACAAAAAAACAAAAAAAAGAACAAAAAATTACGAATACACTTGACCGAAGTGTTAACTGCCAAATATAGATTTGTAACTTTGGCAAACAATCCTCTGAAGTGTGATTTGACATAATTTAGATTAATCTGATCGATCACGTACTTGCATACAGATGTGCTAGAGTTTGTCTTGGAATAGGAAGAGATTATTCGTAGCGGCAACAGCCACTACGTTTTCAGATGGATGCCACGCGGTGTGAAGTATTTTCTTATTGAAATCAAGACAGTCGACGCTAATCTCATCCTTCTTGCGTTTACCACCGGTGCATACCTATATATATATATATATATATATATCGCAATGTGTAAATGTAAATCATAAAGTTGATACACAAAAGGAAGGTCTCATAAATGAAACATGAAAAGATCTCATAAATATGCTGACCTTTCTTGGCTTCAGGAGAGTTTTTGGTTTGGCAATGTCGCGCGCTGCTTCTAAGGTAAGATCACGTTTGGTCGTACGATCGAATACTCTGAAGAAATTGTTATATGAACCCGTCATAATAGCAGAATCGTTACCGCTCCAACAACACTCGAATTTGTCAAAGATGCAGTCGTTTTCATACAATGAACATAATTTTGATCTTAAGTATTCGTGTACCTATATTGCAACAGAATTACACATTGGTGAAACACACAAACCATATAAAATTCTTACAATAGAAAAAAGAAGAGAAGCTTGAAGTAAAATAAAAAGAAAAAAGAGATAAATGTAGCGGTTTTAATTCTGTGCGAGAAAATAAATATCGCCTTCTTCTTCGTCAACAATTGTGCCAACTTACGGGATAACATTCGATTGGTTTTGTCTCCATTTGCAAGTCCCACACTTTCACACTGAGGTAGTCCCTACTGATCATGTATCTCCCGGAATTACTAAGCTTCACATCACTTATACTCGAAATGATTTCGGAGAAAAAACTTCTATTAGTCGGATCCTCGGGTTCCTCGAAGAGTTTGCTATGCTGATCGCAAAGAGCAGCGGATCTCATATCACAAAGTCTAATGGTTCCCTTGCTACTGCTGTATACCAACACGTTGCATTCCGCAGGATGAAATTCTGCCGCAGTTATGACCTCCGTTAATTCTTCCATATTGGTTGGCTTAATATCTACTATATCTGTACACTTTGGTTAGGAAAATTACATCTTGTACGTTTCGTTGTTCAAAATATTGAAATACACTTTCTGACATGACTAGAAAGAGAGAAAACTAAGAACGATTAATAACGATCAAAAAAAAAAAAACGCGTACATAAATAATATAAATTAGAATGAGGGGGTTGGGATTTTACACGTGAAATATTGTTGAAACAAAAGGATACTAAAACTCTGATCAGTTATCTCGAGATGCCAAAGGTTAATCCTAAGATCATCCGCACTGAGGTATGTCTCTTGATCACTGTTGACACTTATACTGTTTATATGATAGGTGTGCGCATTGGCAAATATTCTTCTTGGTGATGCCTCTACCATCAATTCCATTGGCTTTATGGTTGGCACCTGTGTGTATAGAATAACAATAACGTTTTGAACTTGTGTCACTTTCTATGCACATCTCATTCCAAATTATCTTCATTTGCATCACAATATATATGTACGAGTTTATATCAATACAAAGAAAGAAAGAACTTACCCTCAAGCTAGTAATGCAGGCAGGATCGCGAATCGCGCCATTTTCCTCCTTCGTGTTATATCCTTCAACCTTTTTATCTCTTTCGCTAACTTTCCACAACTTGATCGTTTTATCGTTCGTGGAGAGTAAAAAGTGGGCAGGGTTTTTTCTCTTTAGCCATCTAATTTTATTAATTTTTTCTTCTATCTCGAGGGACTTAAGGTAATCGAACTCGGGCTCATGGCTCTGGAAGGTGCTATACACGTTGTATTCGCCTCTTCGTGGTATACTATTTTTACTCTACGGACAGAAATTTCAATTGATTAGTTTCAAAGTATACATTTTCATCGTGCTGAATGCTCTCATCGAATTTAAATCATAAAATAAAACGAAAACTACCTGTAATCTAAAGATTTGTCTAAAATCTTAAATTTTTTATCGGAATGCACACTTACATTGGGGTCTCCCTGAAAAATAACAACACGTCCACCCTTGTCCCCTGTTGCGAGCAGATCGCCATCGTGGTTAAATTCAACGCACGAAATTATATCAGCTGCAACAAAACGCACATTTATAAATCTGAATCAATTTTTCTACACGATATTGAAAATTTGATCAACGCGAATGCGATTGTTAGTAGAAAGAATGGAAGAAGAGGGAGGGAAAAAAAGAAGAATAAACCCAAGTTTTTGATCCAAATCAAATTCTGGATCCCAATAACACATATGCAAAGCTGCACCTCGGGTCTAGGTCTTTGTTTTATTTTGAGATGTGTAAACTGATAAGATAAGACAGGCTGTTTCTCGAGCCAAGCAAACACAGGTCAAACTTACCTTCTGTGACATCATCCTCTAAAGTCCCCTTTACTTGCGAGAAACACCATTGCATATCACCATTGCCTACAATATAATTGAACGAATTTAAAACATCTTTCTGTGATTCTACTTTTTTTTTCGATCTTATCAAATACGTTTTAAAACAAAATGTTTGTGAAAGAAAACACCTTCAATAAACCACCGTAATATAATATTGTATTTTAAATTAGAAATATATGTCAGTGATATACTTTGTTCACATTAGCTTTTTGATTGCTTACGAGAATCAACAGAGAGGAAAGAAATAAAACAAAAGCAGAATAATGAGGAAATCCCTTGGCTTCGTGTTGATAAAATTCAAATTACGTAAGTGAGTAAAGGACGGGGGGGATGCGAGAAGCTGTGGCCAACAACATGTTGTTATTTGGCATTTCTATTCGGTCGTATTGCTTCGCCCTTTTCTCACTTTACGTCAAATGAATATTACATTTTGCGTGTACAATGCATAGTTCGTCGCTTAGAGTTAGAGAAGAATGTCAGAGATCGGTATTTGTTAATTATATTCGTGAGAAAAAAAGCGCAGCGCACAAAATAATTTAAAAAAAAAAACAAAAAAAAACAATCTAGAGAAGCGAGAGAAAGACACACTTTGTTCCATTTAAATCGCACCTCGAACGATTAATATCTTAAAAAAAAGAGCTTGTCACGCGTGTCGATGACAGACAATATTGGCTCTCGTCGACGAGCTTGGAATTCCTCTTTATGTGCAATTAAAAAGCGAAACCTTTACCTTTACAAAAATAGCGAGGGACGCTCAGGCGAGAGTGTAGAAAGAGAGAGAGAGAGAGAGATAGACAGAAAGAGTAGAAGAAGCGGGAATGGTTTCGCGATACAGAGGGGAACAAAGCTTTGCGGAAACAAAAAATGAATTGCAAGCGTGCAATTGTGGCGCGCATCTGCGCGCGTGAAACAATACGCGAAGATATCGGCGGCGTTTCCCAAGGTGATTCCGCCCGATGGGACTCTCTCTCTCTCAAAACCGAGAAATCCGAGACGTTTGGACTATTTACACATCGGGGAGGTTGTTGAAGAACACAATCGCGGACGATCAGAGAAAGAAAAGCGACGACACAAAATTTGAGACAAAATTGCAATTCTTCCCGCTTTCGATTTGAGAGAGAGAGAGAGAGCAAATCGATCCGATCAATTTGGGAAACGTTGTCGCGAATATATGTATTTACTCGACGCATTGTAGTAGCACACAGGGGAAGCGAGGGAACTTTATGGGTGAAGATGGCCGGCGTAAAAGCAGCGTGCGGGCGCACGAGAGAATCTCCTCCTGCGCGAAGGTCGTGCGGACTGTGACACACGGATGTGCAGTGTGAATGTTAAAGGTGAAAGAGAGAAAGAGATAGAGAAAGAGAGAGAGATAGACAGATAGACGAAGAAAGTGGAAGAGAAAGAGCGAAGAGAGGAGCGAAGGTAAAAAGCGGAGCCTACTTGAAGTTTCGGCGTAATCCATCGTGTTTATTAGGCCGCCGCCGCCGCTGTTGTCGCCGTCGCCGGCGACGGGCGCATTTAGGGTAAAAACCACCCTCTCGCGCGCGCACGGGGAGAGTTCCGCGAGAAAGACCGGGAGAGGTGAAAAAAAAAAAAAAAAGAAACAAAAAATTTAAGAAAAATCACCGCGCACACTTATCGCGGATACGCGCGAGGGGTAGGATCTCGCGGCGCGAGAGCTCCGTATAATATACGCTCGTTGCGGAAAATTGTACACCCGCGGTTCTCTCTAATCTGGGTCAAGGTTCGTCTCGCCGCGGCGAAGAAGCGAAGAGAAGCCGCCGCAAACGAGGAAGGAGACACACCGTCACCGTCGTCGTTATCGTCGTCGTCCTCGTCGTCGACGTCGTCGTCGTCGCCGTCGCCGTCGCCGCGCGTCGTCGGCGACAAGGTAGCGCTATTGCACGTATCGCAACTCTGAACTCACGCGCCGGGTTTTATAAACAGCCAACGCGGCTGGCCGAAGCCGCACTACTTACCGACCATCTCGCACGCACGAGGAACAACACACACACACAACAAGAGAGCGGAGCGTTCGCACGCGCGACTATTTTTTTTTTTTTCTTTTTCTTTTTAACGCCCGGTGCCCGCCGAAACGCAAAAGTCGAGAGCGTGGGTTTGCAACAAAACGTTTTCGCTCTCTCGGGACGGCGCAAAGGGGCCCCGCAGAGGAGGACAACCGCACGCACTCTCTCACACACACATGCACTCTCTCAACGCACACACGCGCGCGCGCGCGCGCACACACGCAGCACCGCCGGTGACGAGGGGGAAGACGACGACCGTCCGTTTTTACCGCAGGAAGTGCGCACGAGAACACGAGCCGGTCCACTCCGCCGGACCCTCCGTCACATATTTCCGACCGAACACCGTGACCAGAAAAAAATCGCTCTCGTCGCGTACGCGGGTTCTCCCAATGGCGGAAGTTCACAGGCGCATAACCGCACAACACGACGTGACGTCACTTGCGCAGAGAGCGCCCCAGGTTTTTCGCCCACTATACCCACCGGTCCCGTGGCTCCCCGCACTAGGAACTGCTAGGAACAGAACGCGACAACGCTAGGGAATAACGTACGCGACGTTGATTGGTCAATCCGCGTCCCACGGCCGGTAGCCAATAGGCGTCGCGCCGTGTTTTCACCGACGCGCGCGCGCGCGCGCAGCAGTTCCGCGTGAACGCGGCCGAAAGTTCTCGCCAAGATGGCCGACATAGCGCCTCAACCGCACACGCAACAACACGAATTCAAATCTGCTCGTCAATTACGTAAGTGGTCTACGTTTGTTTTGCAATAAAAATGTTCAATTGATACTTCGAGTTCCTTTTGAGTCTCAAATTGGCTCGACGAAAACGATCGGTTTCCAATATACGCTTTAGATAATTATCGCGAAGCTAATTAACAAAAATTTCACGTTTCCAAATGAGAAATCATTTATTTTGCAAATGGTCGTGTGTTAGTGGAAATTAAACGTAACAAAATTTAAAAAAATGCTACATCGATCGCGAAGTGCAAACTTAACACACTTGCACATTGACTCGGCGCACGCTACAGGGGGAAGGGTTCGACGAACTTTCGGGAAATCGATTTCGCACATCGCGAAAAGTTGAAATTGCGTGTGAGATATTTTTAGTAAATGCATTCGCGCTCGTGTGTTTCTCTTCTCTTGCTGAAATTTTTACTGTTTTTTTCCCCTCTCCCTCCCTCAATTCCGACAATCGATCTCCCGATTATTTCAACCGCGGTTGATTAATTCGCGAAATAAACGACGCTTTGTTAATGAAAATTTTATTACAGAGTGAAGCTGTTACGTTCGTGACGCTTCGGAAGAAAAATTCGAGCGGGAAACGAATAAATTCCAGGCCTGTTCGAGAAGCTTTGACGAGGAATTAACAATCGAATCAATCGAAAAGTGGCGTCACATTCTCAAGAAACAAAAGTTTATAATATTATATTGACAGGTAAAATTATTTTATATCACAGCTCAAGAGGACAGAGAACGCGCGCGAGAGTACTTTAGTTAACCGCTAGATCGCTCTGCACGTTCGACGAAACACAGGTGGTTTGCGAAAGAAACCAATGGAAACTCAAAAGGTCAATTGAAACTTAGCGAGAAATATGTGTGTTTTTTCTTTCAAATAACTTAACGGAATTTATGACAGGCATAAAAACTTGTTTGCGACAAAAACCTTATGACAGTTTCTTTACATATTCTTATCTCGAGCGACTCGTTTTGCACACAAATTATGAGATAATTTAGAAAAACGCGAAACGCTTGTGCAATATCAACTGGTGTGTTCAACATTCAGTCACGTGTTTGCCCAATATATTAAATATATATATATATATAATATATATATATGTAAAAATTGTGTGTATTTTTATAATTGTATTTATACGCCAATTTTATAATTTACTATATACATAAGTATTGCATTTATAATTGAATTTATAATTACTATATATTATATAATTATAAATTTCATTATAAACACAATATGTATAATATATGTAACATATATATGTAACAATTATAAATTCATTACATAATAGACATTAATTTATATAATAGATATTAATATTATAATTTGTAATATTACTTATTATATATATATGTTACATATAATAATTTACGATTGTTATGTATGTAAAATATATATAACAATTATGATTAAATGTATTCTATATAATTATATATATATTACTGTATTTATTATTACATATATTATTATATATAATTTATATACATATTCTTTTTGCGTTATATATATATATATAACTCATATATGTATAAAATATGTAAATGACATTTATCCTCGAAAAAAGAAACTACCTTAAACGTAAAAGGACTCGACACCGTACAAAGAGAAAAAAAAACCTACAATAGTTTTTTTTTGCCCACCTGAACTCTTTCGCGAATGACGTGAAATTTTTACCTAAAAGCTCCGCAAGCTTGTCATGTAACTCTTCGAGGGAGGAAAATAGCGGCGTGTTTCTCTGCGAACGCGTCAACGTCGAGGGAGCACGAATTCCCGATCGATCCATCATTGTGTGTTTTTTTTTTTGTTTTTTTTTTCGTTCGTAACGGAAAAGCCCGTAGGGCTAATCACCTATGAGTCATCGACGACGGGTTGAGGGATAGAGACGGTCTGTTGTTGAACAACCGATTAACGTATTTCGCGGTTTCGTTGCAGTCGATTTTGATTTATCGCGAATAAAACGCTACGCGGAACTGTCTCGCACTGGTACGAGCTATGTACCGGAGCCGAAGCTCTCTTTGTCGAGCGTGTTAGAGACGCCTCGTTAATGAGCTCGTACTAACGAGATCGCATCTCTCCGCCTGAAGATACGAACACACGCGTGCATTGATATGTAATGTGGATATTTTGCCGATCCGACGTAACTCGAAAAAAAAAAAAACTGTCTGTGTACATGTCGAAAACATGCGGTGAAAACGTGTATTTGCGGATTGTGTTTATTCAAAAACGCGACTCTTAAACAAAATACATTTGACCTTTCGTTCGACACAATATCAGTTCACGGTTGCAAAACTTTTAGCGCGAGAAACTGTGAGAAAAAAAAAAAATACTTGTAAGAAGAAAACACCCACATGAGTGAGTTTCAGCCAAGTTTTCGCATCGTCTTGCCATCGTTTCTCGTTAAATGTCAGAGTTAAAAAAATAGAGAACTGTGTAACAGATAAATTTCTTTTATAGAAAACTTGGAAACTTCAGCGCATAACTGAAAAAAAAAAAAAAAAAATATATGCTGAAGTTTAAAGTGCGACGAGCACTTACCGGCGCGTTTGTTGACGGCGGTGTTGATCATGGAACCGAGTTTTGTGAGGCTGGACTGCCTCATGATATTTGAAGGGCTCTTCATCCGTTTGGACGGTGGTACCGGAAGCGGGGCGGTCTTGGCCCGTGCCAGGATGGCACCGCCGTTCCGGCAGTTGCCGTTTGGACCTGAGCCGGGGGGCCGCTGGGGCGGTGCCCCCCATAGACCCACCACCCCGGCGTGACGCGTGGTGACACGTCGCTAACCTCAGTTTTCTGCCACCTGTTATCCTCGCGGTCACCCTCAGCTTTCACCGTCGTCTCGTCGATTCTGGAAAATAAGATTCTTTTTGTTTTTCTTCTTGTTTTTATCCTCTGAAGTGGACGTTCGAATAATCGAACATCTACCGCGCGATTCACCTTCTCTGTATTTTATTTTTAAACAACATATTTTTAACAAATTTTTAATCGTACGTTGCACCTTGAGTTAAATGTTTTACCGCTTTTGAGATTTTTTTTTATTTCGTTCAACAATTTAACTTGACGTTGATGTTAAAAATTTCTATACAACGAAACTGAAACTCATTTTATATAAGTTGTGTGATCCTCAGATGAAGGAGAAAAAGTTTTAATTAGTTTGTACGTGGACAAATGCATTTATAAACATGTATAAAAAAAAATTACTTGGAAAATTTAAAAAGAATTTTTGTATATTAAAATCGGTTTAAGTTCGCGACATACAAATTTAATATTTTTAATTACTTTGAAAATTTTTGAGCACCGAAAAATTAGTTTCAGTTTGCGAGAAATCTGCGAGATGCGAATTAATATTTTTAATTAGACACACGTGTGCGCAGAATTTCGAACGGTATATCATCGCACAAATGGGAGTATATCTTAACTCATATAATGTAATCAAACGCCAACTATAAAGCGTCTCTAATGGAAAATATTGACTAGCTCTATATCTGGCGAATAGTGAAGGCATTAACGTCGACCTTTGCGCGTTAATGTTATCCTCCGCCACGTTTGTTCGCGAGAGAGAGAGAGAGAGAGAGAGCGTTCCCAAATGACCGCGTTACTAAATCCACATAATTACAGACAATATGTATTAGAGGTAATACGCGTTGTAACCGTAAAACGACATTTGCAGAGACAAGACCGACCACTCAACGCTAATTTCTACTACCGGTGAATCTCGCGATTTAAGTGGTAAGGCCATCACACACGCACACACGAGCTAATTTGCAAACGGATCGTGTGTACACGCTCGCTCGTTGTACCTGCGATATTATTTCCTATATACGCGGTAGCGAGATTATTATTTCCTATAAACTTATACGCGACCGAGATGAGAATCGAGATTGAACTTCGAGGTAAAACAAAAAAAAAAAAAAAAAATCAGTTACATCTTGTTGAAATTAATGTCATTAACGAGGTCCTCTCAATTTGTTTTTCTCTCACATTTAATCGAGTTTAATCGACTACGGCGATTAAATTCAACGGTGTAAGAATACGCTGTCTTTCTTTGAAAAAGATCTGTCACGCCGTCTCATATCCACGGCTTGCCAGCAATTTTCATTTCCATGAAACTAGAGTCGTGCATTCCCGCGTCACATTCCTAATTTTAATTCCGATGTTGTCACACGCGTAAGTTAGCGTCCCGACATTAAAAATTAAAATTCCGATTAGATTTCTCCCGTCTTATTTCGAGGAGAGAGAGGGAGAGAGAGAGAGAGAATTTATTTTGGAGCACATTCGACACATTCGTGGTACGATACGAATTTTCTCAATTCCGAGGAAAATTACTTGCAAGTAATCGAAGCTCTCTTTCGAGCTTTTCTTTTTTTTTTTTTTTCGAAGAGATTGAGAATTCTCTTTGTAATTTTTTTCTAAAGAGAATACTCAGCGCTCGAAGTTTTCGACCACTTTGTTCAACCGATGATTATTACAAGTGACGTGATGTGTACACACGATGTACTGGAGGTAATTAACAAACTCAATTAGGCGCGTAGGAAATACATCAATTTTTCAACGTTCAGGATCGATTTTCTCCGCCTTAATCCGTGATGGTCGACAAAATTTTATTCCGCATCTTTGGATTATTCTCGCGCGAAGAATCACCCATCCCTCCCACCGCACATATCGATTGTTTTTTTTTCTTTTTCTTTTAATTACAAAGACAAGAGCGGGC